ACCATGGATATGTAAGTAAAGTGAAATCTCCAATATTCTCGAACAAAATCATAAATAATATTCAACGTTAAACTGGTACACAATTAAAAACGTTACAACGTCATCCTCGAAACATGTAGAGTCGTCAACTTTTTGAAGGCCATAGATAGGCCTACATAAAATGTTTTTAATTGTGTACCAGTTTAACGTTGAATATTATTTATGATTTTGTTCGAGAATATTGGAGATTTCACTTTACTTACATATCCATGGTGTTGATGGTAGTGTGGGGGCAGTAACTATCCACTCTAACATGGCAACTTTTATGGCACACCAAGTTGCAATCTGTAACAATATACATACATCAATCAGGAGATGAAAAAATAGCTTGCAACCAAATACCATGAAAAAAAGTCAAAGCATACAAATGCACTCAACACATAAAGGAAAACAGAAACTGTTCATCACTAATGATGTGTCATGTAAGAAGTATCATCTTATACAGTAATACTGCAGCATAAACGTGTAGGATTTTCATTAGTGTTGTAATTAGATTCAGGACTAAATACATGCTATAGATCAACTAAAAACTATGAAAAAAAAAGACCTTTTTCATTTGTTGTAATTTTGATTCATATATTTTTTTTCTGCAGCTGGTAAAATGGTGTTATTTCTCTTACATAAATAATCTCTTCATTTGGTGTCAAACACTCAGTAAACTAAAACAAAAAGGAAAACATAACAACTTATGCATGATAGATAGATTTCTCCAGTAAACGGGATAAAACTGGCATTAAGATGACTGATTATTAGACGGTAAAATTTTTTTAGGGGTGGGGGAACCAGAAAAAAAATTTATGGCCGAGTCCATGTGACACTTAAGAAATAAGATGATTTATGCTTTAATAACATGTGCATGCATACAAAACAATTTGCCTTTATAAAAAAAAACTATTCAGTATAGTTATAAATCACATAATTCAGTGGAAAATGTATGACAACTGTAAAGTAGAATAACATGAGAAATGGAAGTACAGGAAGATATGACTTTCTTTTTGAAATCTTTTCTTCTCTAGCCTGTGTGGTTATTACATTGCTTTATAAACTTGTTGATGTTCAAAAACTTGCATGTAAAAAGTCATCAAAACTCCCAAAAGATATAATGTAGTGACCTCAACACACTGTGGAGATAAATGGCTAACTGTTATGTCTAACGGGAAAGCTGAGAAATTACTTTATTATGTCGTGCAGAACAGAAGGGCTGTATACCATCAAAACTAATGGGTTAAGGAAGACACTACAATGTCTTGTAGAACAGAAGGGCTGTACACCATCAAAACTAATGGGTTAAGGAAGACACTACAATGTCTTGTAGAACAGAAGGGCTGTACACCATCAAAACTAATGGGTTAAGCAAAACACTACAATGTCGTGCAGAACAGAAGGGCTGTACACCATCAAAACTAATGGGTTAAGCAAGACACTACAATGTCGTACAGAACAGAAAGGCTGTACACTATCAAAACTAATGGGTTAAGCAAGACACTACTATGTCGTGCAGAACAGAAGGGCTGTACACCATCAAAACTAATGGGTTAAGCAAGACACTACAATGTCGTGCAGAACAGAAGGGCTGTACACCATCAAAACTAATGAGTTAAGCAAGACACTACAATGTCGTGCAGAACAGAAGGGCTGTACACCATCAAAACTAATGAGTTAAGCAAGACACTACAATGTCGTGCAGAACAGAAGGGCTGTACACTATCAAAACTAATGGGTTAAGCAAGACACTACAATGTTTTGTAGAACAGAAGGGCTCTACACCATCAAAACTAATGGGTTAAGCAAGACACTACAATGTCGTGCAGAACAGAAGGGTTGTACACCATCAAAACTAATGGGTTAAGCAAGACACTACAATGTCTTGTAGAACAGAGGGCTCTACACCATCAAAACTAATGGGTTAAGCAAGACACTACAATGTTGTGCAGAGCAAAAGGGCTGTACACCATCAAAACTAATGGGTGAAACAAGACACTACACTACAGGAGGGCCACTGGTGTTATACACTATCAAGACTACTGAACTTTGTTTGGCTGAGATATTAGATTGTTAAACACTCTACCCTACTATATTTTGAAGCCTAATTCTCAACTAAAACCTTCTGTTTATTATCATGACCAGTGGGCCAATTTAGATTCTAGATAAGTATAACTTTACAATGGTAGAACGTTTACACTATAAACACTAATGGGAGAGGTAGCACTCATAAATTTTAAGGCCCAGCGTTTCAACTCAAACAATTCCTACAGGAAAGAGACTGTTGAGCTGTTATGGATCTAGTAACATTTTTTCACCATTTGTTATGGTTTTGTTTATGTGAATCTCTAATTACAAGATATAAATCAAGAAATATTTTATCTTTAGTAAGGACCACTTTATTTGAAACTAGAAGCTGAAGCACTCAAAATTGATATCAAAAAACCAATTTGTATATCGTATATGTATGATTAACAGTGGTTTAGATTTATATCGTATATGTACGATTAACAGTGGTTTGGATTTATATCTTTTTATTAGATTATTATCTTCATATTTTTGTACATGAATCATTTTTAAAATTTTAGAAATAACTGCTCTTTATCCCAGAAGAGTGTAATACATTTTAGAAAAACGTTTTAATAGTTGTAGCATACGTACCTCTACACTCATAACCTTGTTTACCAAGATGACGAGAGAGGTTCCTCCCACAAATTTGACAAATAGTTGATCTAATCATAAGATAAATAAAAAGTATGTACCTTTTTTCAGCACTATACAAAATGTAAGTACAATTAATCTCATAACTTCACAAGTATCAAATTTTTAATGTTTCAGCACATGAAGCAAACTTCCCATTTATTACCTAACAATCTGTCAAACTAATATAAATATACAATGTTTGAGAAACGTACAATCATTTGCAAATCAATCCTGAGATTATATAGTTTATATATCACAACAACAACAAAGTTCATGGAATACAAAAACACTGTGAATAATCTTAGGTATAATGAACATTTCTCTCTTATCATACCTACATAAAACAAATTCTTCAACAATGAAAGATAAAAGTTTTGAGATGGCTTGACTGGGAGTGTAATAAAAACTTTATTATAAATATACAATGTTTCAACAAGATTTTGTCATCCTCAGGTACAAGTAATTTATAGAGATACATGAGTATATGCATGTAGAATGGAACAAAGATGTCACATGACTAGGAGTGTAATAAAAACGTTATTATAAATATACGACGTTTCGACAAGATTTTGTCATAGAACAAAGAGGTCACATGACCAGATATTGCTTCACAGTCTAATATAGGTATATTGGTACCCCCCGGGGGGTGGGGGTGATTTAAGGTGGGGCTGTTTTCTTCAATAAAGATAGCTTCTTTTATTTTGCGGTAAAAAAACCCTCCTATGTTTACTACTATTGCAACTCAAAAACCACAGTATATCAATACAAAACAACATAATTTTAAACAAAGAACCTAACATCAATAAATGCAAAATAAAAGAAGCTATCTTAATTGAAGAAAACCGCCCCACCTTAAATCAACCCCCGGGGGTACCAATATACCTATATTACACTGTGAAGCACAATCTGGTCATGTGACCTCTTTGTACTATACTGCATACATATACTCATGTATCTCTGTAAACTATTTGTACCCGAGGATGACAAAATCTTGTCGAAACGTCATATATTTATAATAAAGTTTTTCATTACCCAGTCAAGCATTCTCAAAATTTTAATTTTCTAAAAAGTGGCTTCCTTGTTATCAAACAATGAAAGATAGAAGTAATCATAGCAAACAACAGCTTTTAAATTTTAATGTTTCAGAAAAAAAACTGTTTTTCATCAAATATGATGCCAAAATAACACATAAAGTAACCTTCAATTTAAAAGTACTTTTCACTTAAAGCAGTCAGACTTTTAATCTGAATGTAAAAAAAAAATCAGACAAAAACACAATATATAGCAGTAAAATATAAAGGTAAATCAGCATTAATGATCACATGATTATTATAGATTAAACTGATAAATTTGATGTCTTAACTACTGTTCACATGAGGGTGATATACAACATACTGTACATAACAAACTACAACTTATTAGTTAAGAGTCAGTCTCAATGTTATTAAAGCTTTGATTATTGCTGTGTCCAACACTATTACAGAAAGGTGTTATGATACACAAGAGAATAATCGGATACTTAGAAAAAAAGAAGATATAAAGGTATGACCAAAACATTTCATATCTAAGTATATGAACAAAACAAGGAAAACTAATGAAGTGGTTTATACTAAAGATATAAAGGTATGATACCAAAACATTTCATATCTAAGTATACAAACAAAAAAAGGAAAACTAATAAAGTGGTTTATACAAAAGATATAATGGTATGACCAAAACATTTCATATCTAAGTATACAAACAAAAAAAGGAAAACTAATGAAGTGGTTTATACAAAAGATATAAAGGTATGACCAAAACATTTCACATCTAAGTATATGAACAAAAAAAGGAAAACTAATGAAGTGGTTTATACAAAAGATAGAATGGTATGACCAAAACATTTCATATCTAAGTATACAAACAAAAAAAGGAAAACTAATGAAGTGGTTTATACAAAAGATATAAAGGTATGACCAAAACATTTCATATCTAAGTATATGAACAAAAAAGGAAAAACTAATGAAGTGATTTATACAAAAGATATAAAGGTATGACCAAAACATTTCATATCTAAGTATATGAACAAAAAAAAGGAAAATTAACGAAGTGATTTATACACAAGAAATCAGCAAACATCATAATATTCCATATGTTGGGTGCTTTTAATATATTAAACTATAGCATTGATAGTTTACTACCTTAAAATTTATTTTGGTATTATGCTTTTAGCAAATGAAAAGCATGTATTTGGATATTGATGGATTATAGTGCCATTTTTACACAGAAGAATTTTCCTAATTCACACTAAAATTGTCTCAAATACATGCTCATCATAACCAGAAAAAAACCAGTTTAGACCTTCACTATCAAGATAATCTGTTTTATTTTGCTTTGTTTTTTCTTTCTTGTTTCAATTGAGGTTTCAAGTGCACTATACATATTATTTTTAGTTTTATGCATATATTATTTGTGATTTTCTAACAAATCTCTTTTAATGGAGATAAAGATTGAACATAAAAAGAATTATTACCATGGTCACTTTTACATCCATTTCCCTTACCTTTGTATAACTGATCTGTCATTTACAGACTGGTAAAAATGATATAATTGTTATGCATTTAAAAATATGTATAACCTATAGCAAGATCTACCATATGTGGATATGCTAGGACAACAAAGTATGCATGCATAAAACACCATATATTGTATAAATGCCTTATTCTCTACTTATTAGTGGTTCCAATTTCAGTAAAATCCTTTAAAGAAACTCACTGTAAATGAAAGGTTAACTTGGACTCAGTTTATAAATCCCTTAATGATGACTACCCTTGGCTAAGTAAAATCTTCCGATAATTAAAAAGTACAAAATATATTAAAGTCCTAACAAACAGTTGAAGAATTAAATGCATAGGTTAGGGTTAGGTTCTATTACGATTAGCATACCCAGGTAGATGCTTAGCAACAAAGATGTGGTCATTGTATATATGAAGCTTGACACCTCTCTTTCTCCATTTGGTATGATTAGCAAGAGATGATGGAAGCAAATAGTGCCTATTAAATGTAATTAAAAAACAATATCATAGTTACATGTACATATTAATCAATTTGTCTTAAACATATTTTTCTTTCAATAAACATAAAAATTCAATTACTCTATAGATAACTGAAATATAAGTAAATGATAAATCAGAATCACATTTGTAAACCCCATTACCTTATATAAATATTCCATACATAGAGTACCAGGTTTTAATCTCACTTTATAAGAGCAATAAGCTGAGGTACCCATTATTTTGTCTGGGTTATGAACTTAAAAATATTTCGAGGTGAATGCTATGATATATAACACAAAAATCCTAACTTTTACACAAATTATTTATAACATAATATGTTATTACAGTATTCATTATTACTTCACCAAAAGTTTTGTATAAGCTTTATGAACTCACTTATGTTTATACTTAAAACATGGTATACACTGTGCAATGGTTAGAGTGACTTTATAGGAAAAGGTAGGGGCTAAAATAGTGGCAGTAGGGGTGCTTTCTGTTACCCACTTTCAAGACCCAGTTCTTAATGTCCTTCCACACTGTTTCACATTCTTAGTTCATTAACAGTCATTGGTCTCAGAAGTCTCTTATGGGCCAAAGTTGTAAGGTCACAAGTCAAAGTAGGAAGTGGATATAATTAAAAAAAAAACAACTCTTCATATCAGCCTTATGGTGGTTGTTGGAGTAGAAACTCCATCAGAGTTTATGTGTTATTGCAATAGTGGCAGCCCTTTTTTTTTCATTGCATTCCTCCATATATTTTTAGTGTAAAGACATGGCACCATCTATGTAGTTAACGTAACTTACCTTAAAAATAATAAATGATAAAGGGGTGGAGGGAGTTGTGAACCACACATAACATGTCCCTTGTTCCAAGCATTTATCCCACAAAGTTTGGTTGCGATTGACCCAGCAACCTAGGAGTAGTTAGATAATGGACAAACAGACAGACACATAGACTTTAGTGCTTTATATAGAGAGAGATGTTCAAAGAACGACCTACACTGTCTTTTAAACTACTTCCTCCATCAAATGACCATCAGCACATGCTACTCTTTGACACTGTAGTTTCCACTACAAGAAAGAAAATGAATCCAACCTTAGGCTATACATCTCAACAAACTTTCCACAGGTCTTCCACTATATGTGGACCTGCTTAAACAGACCACAGTCCACTGGAGCTGCTTTAGGGGAAATTTACAGATGGCAATACAAATTAAATCACTCTAATTTCAGTTTCTTCAACAATTCTTTCTCATGAAAGCAGTCACTGATTTTTAGTGGTGGCTAGAAACTTGTAATCTACTATCTGGTGAGCTTCTGCCAACTTCAAGCATTCCTTAATACTCTTCTTATGGTACCAAGATATATCTCTAGCTTCATCAAAGCAGGTCAAAAGCTTCTTTTTGTAACCACAGCCTTCCTTCACTATGTGGATGAAGACATTGCTTTTGACTGGCTTGGGGTATGATTTGAGTCTCTTGCTGTTCTAAATACACTATTGTGATAGTTTTTCAATACTATCTAAAGAATCGAAGGCTCCTTCTTTAAAATGTTATGTTATTTGGCTCTACATCTTTGAACAATCTTGCTGCAGGAGTATCTTTCCTCAAAAAGGGATGTTGCATATTCTTCCAGCCATAAGTTTATTCATGACAGTACTGCACTGTCAAAGTTAGATATTTGTCACAAACCAAATATATGAACACCAAATATATGTCATCTGTGGTACCATACCACTCAATTACCATATATGAATAATTCTTATAAAGTGTAATTAATTTCCTATTTAACAACAAACCTAGAAATCGTTAGCCTATCTATGTTTTTATTTATTTTCTACTTCATAATAATTTTACAGAAAATATTTATTTATGATTTGAAAGAAAAAATTATAACTAACATATTGTGGTCACAGAAATGTTCTACAACTTATAAAAATTCTAAGATAATGTGTAACAACCACTTGAGAAATACACATATATTCCATTTGACCTTAAGGCAGAAACGGGTAAATTTGGCGACATAAAAATACACATTTTACATTAATTCTTCTTCTGATACACCATCTTTAAATCTTATTTAAACTTATTCCTTCCAATTTTACTATGTTCATAATACTACAAGAGCCTTAGTTTTTATGGATAATTTTTATACATTCTAGGTATTTGAAGAATAAAAATGAGATTAAACCATACTGTAGAGTTTTCTACTATTTGAGTTTCACTTCAAAAAATTCCACTGTTATATTTGTGACCAAAACATAAATTTCTTTATTTCTTTTTTCTCAAACAACATGCATTTCAGCTAAACATAAAAAGAATGTTACTCACTTAATCACGCCATTCTCATTAGTTTCAACAACAAGGGTAGACTTCTCGTGTATGTAAGTACGAGTAGAAGATGAACTAACACCAGAGCCATCACTAATGCTGCTTCGAGCACTACTGTCCTCCTCATGATCTATGAAAAAAAATTAAACTCTCTCTCTCTTCAAATCTTACAATTCAAGTAAGTTTTATTTAAATTACAAATAAACCCTGAATTGAAAATGTTTTAATTAATGTCATACTTATATTCCTAATATGTATGTTGTGTTTTATGCAAAACACAAAATGTATCAGTTTATGCAAAAAAAGACCTCTGTTAGCTCACGACAGGCTACAATTCTTTTGTTGATATCCTAATGATTAATTCAGCCAAAAACTAAGCTACTGGGCATAAAGAATAAGTTATAAGTATCATTAAGCAATGTTTCACCTTATAACTCATATGAAACGTAAATACAACAAAATAGTTACATCAATTTTTAAGAAGTTTAAATTGTGTCCTATGACTGGAGATTTAGAGGGTTATAGAAAATCATGAGAGTTGTTTAAACAGGAAATCAAAAAGGGTGCATGAAAAAAAAGGTTGGCTAAAAATTAAAAAATTAATAGTACAGACTTCTTTAAATACATTAAGGGTAATAAAAATATTAGAATGGGAGTAAAAAACTATGAGGGATGATAAAGGAAGGTTTATATTTAAAGACAAAAACTGGGAAGTTCAAATACTGATCAAACTTCTAGGCCAAATAATATTTCCTCAAGGGTTTTGAAGAAGGTTAAGGACTGGATATGTTAGTCACTTGCTACTATTTTTGTTTTTGTAAGTTCTAGAATAGCGTGCAGATGCCAGAGGATTGGAAGTTTGCTAATGTTATTACTCTTTTCAAGAGTTTGTTTGTTTGTAATTAAGCACAAAGCTACACAATGGGCTATCTGTGCTCTGCCCACAACGGGTTTCGAAACCCGAATTCTAGCGTTATAAGTCCGCAGACATACCGTTGTGCCACTGGGGGGCCTTTTCAGGAGAGGTGATAAAACTTTTCCAGTAATTATAGGCCTATTATTAGTCTTACATCATTGGTGGGAAAAGTTTATGAAAGTCTAAATATAGATGCTTAGCAAAGTTATTTAACAATGTATAAAATTTTGTTGGGTAGTCAACATTGATTCAAGAGGTAAAAATATTGCCTTAATAATCCTTTGACATTTTTTGAAGAAGTTACTGCTTATGTAGTTAAAGGTAAAAGTGTGGATTTTGTGTATGTGTATTTTCTAAAAGCATTTGACAAGGTGCCATGTAAAAGGATTGTTAAAAAATTATCTCTATAGTTGTGAGGAATAAGTTGGTTCACTGGATAAAAAAAATGAGAGAATGGAAGAAAGCAGAGGGTTGTTATAAATCAAACTGGACTAATGTCACAAGAAAGGTATCACAGGGTTCACTGTTAGTACCCTTGTTCTTTTTTATTTATATCAATGACATAGATAAAGGAATGATCAATAAGTTATATAAATTTGTTGATAATTTTAAGATGTTGGTATTCACATACATGATAAACAGATAAAATCAATACACCTTAACACAGCTATCTCTACTTTAACACTGCTTGACATTGGAAAGTAAAGAAAGAAGAAAATATCAATACTTGAGATGTATGTCATTAGGCTTAGTAAATTATTAAATAACTCATCACCTACCAGTTCCAGGCACACCTAAGAGAGCATTACCAGCTGAAAGAATAATAAGAGAGAGAACATTAACTGCAAAGGTACAAAAACTGTTACAATTTTATTTTAAATGTTTACACATTTAAGAAGTCAGGTAAGATTAAGCCAGTTTACGTGCTTAACTATTATTGTAGATCACAATCCCTCACTAATATTCTCATCTGACTTGTCTTCCAAATCAAAATGAGAAATTAATTTTGTTATTTTCACCTTGTCCTCCCCATTTAATTTTATTTATGCTTTCTCTTAATTATTAAAGAAACAAGTGAAAAGTCATGAAATAGATGAGAAGCCTTTTGTTATATATATCAAGAACAGAATGGGTATACAGAAACCTGCTGATTTTGTAGTTGCATTAAAGTACAAAAAGGGTGTAAAAATCCAATAAACTTTGTAGTTATATTAAAGTACAGAATGGGTATAAAGAAAACCTATAAACTTTGTAGTTATATTAAAGTACAGAACGGGTATAAAGAAACCTACTGATTTTGTAGTTGAATTAAAGTACAGAGTGGGTGTAAAAATCCTATAAACTTTGTAGTTATATTAAAGTACAGAATGGGTATAAAGAAACCTACTGATTTTGTAGTTGAATTAAAGTACAGAGTGGGTGTAAAAATCCTATAGACTTTGTAGTTATATTAAAGTACAGAGTGGGTGTAAAAATCCTATAGACTTTGTAGTTATATTAAA